TCTACATTTGGTTTTGAAAACCCAATGCTTCATTCGTTTGTGTGTAATAGTTTTATATTCTCTTTTTTGTGTATGGCCTCTTAGAGCTTAGGGCCATTTTGGATTGTGGTTTCTGCTGGCATGAATATAAAATACTTCTGTGACTCTGAAAGAATTTGGCAGTTTTTTTTTTTTTAAATTAGACAAGTGACCATACAAGCCAGTCACTCCCTTCCCAGACATACACCCAAGAGAGCTGAGAACATATGTTTATAAAAGACTGGTACAGGAACGTTCTTAGCTACTTTGTTTGTGATAACTCAAACTGGAGGTAAGCCAGACATCTATTAGCAAGTGAACAGACAGATTTACCCATTATGTGCATCTGCACAACTGAATACTAAGTTATGTGCAAGAAGGAATTATTGGCTGGGCACAGTGGCTCATGCCTGTAATCTCAGCACTTTGGGAGGCCGAGGTGGGTGGATCACCTGAGGTCAGATCAAGACCAGCCTGGCTAACATGGTGAAACCCCATCTGTACTAAAAATACAAAAATTAGCCAGGTATGGTGGTGTGCACCTGTAATCCCAGCTACTCAGAGGCTGAGGGATGAGAATTGCTTGAACCCGCGAGGCAGAAATTGCAGTGAGCCGAGATGGCACCACTGCACTCCAGCCCAGATGACAGAGGGAGACTCTGTCTCAATTAAAAAAAAAAAAAAAAAAATGGGCATGGTGGCCTATGCCTGCAATCCTAGCAATTTGAGAGGCCAAGGCGGGTGGATCACCTGAGCTCAGGCATTCAAGACCAACCTGGGCCACACGGTGAAACCCCATCTCTACTAAAAATACAAACAATTGGCTTGGCATGGCAACTTGCACCTGTAGTCCCAGCTACTCGGGAGACTGAGGCAGGAGAATCAGTTGAACCTGGGAGGCAGAGGCTGCAGTGAATGGAGATCGTGCCACTGCACTCCAGCCTGGGTGACAGAGTGAGAATTCGTCTCTAAAAAAAAAAAAAAGTCTGGGTATGGTGGTTCACACCTGTAATCCCAACACTTTGACACTTTGGGTAGCCGAGGGGGGTGGATCACCTGAGGTTGGGAGTTCAAGACCAGCACGACCAACATGGAGAAACCCCATCTCTGCTAAAAATACAAAAAAAAAAAAAAAAAAACTGAAGAGAAAAAAAAGAGACAGAGTTCGTCAATGCACCCTGGTAAATTCAAGGGACTAGGGTGTCAGAAGAATGTGATGTACAAGGCAGAATGCAAGGGCACTGGAGGTAGAAGTGATCTTAGGGAACATGGAGTCACAGAAGAACAACGAAATGCCATTTCTTGCTCAACTCCAGTCCACTAGCAGCAGTCACCTGGAGGGCTGCTTGAACATAACTCAGTGGGAAAGAATGCCATGAGTGACTCTGGGTGTCTGCTGTGTACATGAGAAGGAAGGGAAGGGCCCAGTATTTGACATGCTTAAGATCTAACCCCTTCATTTTCCTATGGCAAAATCTAGAGCTAGGGAGGTGAGCTAACTGGCTTTGGGGTCACACTGTGAGCCTGTAGTAGAATGTGGCAGGTAACCTCACTCTCAGAAGAACATTCTTCCAAGCTAGGGGCTGGCCAAAAATGGACTGAGGTCCACATATGGCTCATGAGCTCAGCATGGATTTCATTTTTTAATTTTTTTGAGATAGAGTCTTGCTCTGTTGCCCAGGCTGGAGTGCAGTGGTATGACCTTGGCTCAATGTGACCTCTACCTCCCAGGTTAAAACGATTCCCATGCCTCAGCCTTCCACGAAGCTGGGATGCTTCACTGTGCCTGGCTAATTTTTTTGTGGGGGACGGCATCTCACTCTTTTGCCTATTCAGGAGTGCAGTGGCATTATCTTGGCTCACTGCAACTTCCGCCTTTGGGGTTCAAGTGATCCTCCTGCCTCAGCCTCCTGAGTAGCTATGACCACAGGTACACACCACCATGCCCAGCTAATTTTTTGTTTTTAGTACAGACCGGGTTTCACAGACCGGGTTTCAGCCTGTTGGCCAGGCTGATCTCAAACTCCTAGCCTCAAACAACCCACCTGCCTCAGCCTCTGAAAGTGTTGAGATTACAGGCATGAGCCACAGCACCCAGCCAGATTTCATATTTTTAACGGTCAAAAAAAAAAAAAAATCAAAACAACATTACATGACAGATGCAAATTCTGTAAAATTTAAATTTTAGTGTTTCTAAATACATTTTTACAGGAACACAGTCACACCCATCGATTTCCGTATTATCTAAGGTTGCCTTTCCACTATGCTGGAAGGGACAGGTATTTGTGACAAAGACCATATGGCCTGGAATGCTGAAAGTTTCCAGAAAAAGTTTCTTTACTCCTACTTTCTTCCAGTGTCTCTTGAACTTTAATGTCCATACACACCTCCCAGAGAACTAGATACAATTCAGATTCTGTTTCAGTGGATCTAGGCTGAGGCCTAAAATTCTGCACTGTTAGTAAGCACCAGGTGATGCCATGGCTGCTGGTCCATGGACCACACTTTGAGTAGAGAGGATCAACTCCAGTGTGTCTCTACATGTCGACCTGAACCAGCAGCAGCAGTACCTGGGGATGTGTTAGGAATGCAGATACTGAGGTCCCACCAAGACCTACTAAACTGAAAATCTGAGTGGGGCTCAGAAAGCTATGTTTTATAGTAACAAGCTATCAGCCAACACTGTGGCTCATGCCTGTAATCCCAGCACTTCGGGAGGCCAAGGCAAGTGGATCACCTGAGGTCAGGAGTTTGAGACCAGCCTGGCCAGTATGGTAAAATACCGTATCTACTAAAAATATTTTTTAAATTAGCCAGGTGTGATGTTGCATGCCTGTAATGCCAACTACTCAAAGGCTAAGGTGAAAGAATAGCTTGAACCCAGGAGGTGGAGGATGCAGTTAGCCAAGATCATGCCATGGTACTCCAGCCCTGGAGATAGAGTGAGACTCCATCTCAATCAATCAGTCATCAATCAAATATATTAAGCTATCCAAGTGATTCTGATGCAGGCTTGAATTTGAACACTATCTCTCCTGCAGGTCCAGACTCCAGAGAGATTTAACGTAAGACTAAGAATCTTCAGTGTCAGCATGAACACGCTTTCACAAATGCTGAAAAGGCTAGGACTTCCTTAAACATTCCACCTGCAACTCAGCTACTATGAAGCAGGTGGTAGTTTAACAGATAAGTTTCATATTTATAAAAATGTTTAACACTGCTTCACAGAAACTTGCCAGAAAAATTTGTCAAGCTGACCAAGAAGGAATAGCTGTAATGAACACATTACAAAAAGAATGATACAGTTAATAATAAAAAGGAAAGACATGGGGCATCATCTGAAGTCATCCTTCACCATTAACTGTTTTTAACTGTGCTTAAAAGGGAATTTCCATAGTCCATCTCTATATGGTCTCCTGATGTGGGGCCAGCTTTGCAAAATGGTAAGTTGCACTTTTTTTTTGCTTTTTTTTTTTTTTTTTTTTTTTTTTTGAGATGGAGTTTTTCTCTTATTGCCCAGGCTGGAGTGCAATGGTGTGATCTCAGCTCACTGCAACCTCCACCTCTTGGGTTCTAGTGATTCTCCTGCCTCACCCTCCCAAGTAGACATGAGCCATCACACCCAGCTAATTTTGTGTTTTTAGAAGAGATGAAGTTTCATCATGTTGCTCAGGCTCATCTCGAACTCCTGACCTCAGGTGATCCACCCTGCCTCTGCCTCCCAAAGTGCTTAGTATACAGGTGTGAGCCACTGTGCCCAGCCTGCACTGTTGTCTTTAAACTTTTCAAAGCCAGCTAGGCAGGGATAGACCTCTCACTGTACCCCAGGACAGGCACCAGAACACTCAGTGTAGCATGGATCATGATAGTAGAAAACAGGGAACAATCTGTTTTTGTAAGGAATGGGAGAAAGGTAATTCCAGCAGGGCACATCCACATGCCAGACAAGCATGCATCACGAACACAAACGAAGCCAGGCATGGCGGTGCACCCGCAGTCCCAGCTACTTGGGAAGCTAAAGCAGGTGGATCGCTTGAGCCCAGGACTTTGAGGCTCAAGTGAGCCATGATCACACTACTGTACTCCAGCCTGGGTGACAGAGCGTGACCCAATTTCAAAACCTAAACAAAAAAAAAAAAAAAAAAAGAAGAAGAAGATCAGAATGAACCCAGTTGATATACTATTAACCAAACAAAGAGAACTTTATGTACAGTATGATCCAATTCAAATCTGTCAAAATATTTTTTTAAAACCTATATGCATGCACAAAACTGTCACTTTGGAGGAGAGGAACTGATGGTAGAGAAGACATTATACTTTTTATTTTATATCTTTCTGTATGATTTGATTTTTTTCCTAGTGGATGACAAGTACTTGTTCAGCACCTACTGTGCATTGTTTTATGTACTAAGGATACAGCAGCCCACCTGGAGCTAACATTCTAGTGGGGAAAGACAATAAAATAAGTGTACTTTAAAAAATTCTTACTTTTAATTTTTTTTTTTTTTTTTTTTTGAGACAGGTGACTGCACAGGGCTACAGCGTCGCCCAGGCACTAGGTGCCAGGCCCCGGTCTGCTGGGGGCCCGGCCACACCCCCGAGCCTCCGCGGTGCTGATTGGCCGGCCAGGAGCGGGGGGCCGATCGGAGGGGCGACCGCTAGCGCGTCCGCTTCTTCTCCGCGGGGGCGCGCCCACGGCACGCGGCCCAGCGGGGCCGGGAGTGAGCGATGGCCACGCGGACCAATGGGGTGGACGCGCGCCGCCGCCGCCCGCGCGGCCCCTGACGCGGGCCCGGGCGCCGCGCCGCTGCGGCTGCGGGCGGCGACAGCTGCACCATGGGCCGGCTGCTGCGGGCTGCCGGGCTGCTGCCGCTGCTGTTGCCGCTGCCGCTGCTGCTGCTGCTGGCCGGGGGTGAGTGCGCGCCGGGCCCGGGCGTGGGCGGGCGGTGGCGCGGTCGCTGTGCTGGACAGCTCCCCGGGCCGCCAACAAAGGAGCCAGCGTGCGGCGCTGCCAGGAGCGCGCGTGTCCCGGCCCCGCCGCGGCGCCTCCCCGACACGCGCGCACGTGGAGTGGGGGCTTAGGGGCAGCGGCGGGTGCCTAGGGTGCGGGGCGACCCCCGACCGAGGCGCGGCGGTGAAGCCGGGACACAGCAGGTGGCTCCCACGCCGCGACGCGCAGGGCAGGTGCGCAGCCTGCTGCCTTGCGGGCCTGGGGGCGCGCATGTGTGCATGTGCATGTGTGTGTGTGCGAGTGTGCATTGTGTGCCTGCACACTTGGGGGAGGGGGTATGTGTGACAGCCACGCGGGGAGGAGGCCGCATTGTGAAGGTCCCACGGGCCGCGGGTGGAGTGTGAGGCGGGCACGCTGAGGCGCGGGTGGCTGTTTACCAGTGGTGTTGCCGGGAGGGAGTGTGTGTGTCAGTGAATGGGTATCCGCTCCTGTTCTGGGAGACTCTATTAGGAGCTAACACAAACGGGCGTACAGCCACGGAAGGCCCGTGACAGCACACGGCGGGAGGCTCCCACGCAGCTCACACATGAGGGAGGTGTGAGACTTGGATGTGTGGTTTCCATTCAGCAGCCATGCCGAGCGGCGGGCTGGGGGTGTGGCGCAGGTGTGAAAGGGATGTGTCTGCCTGGGAGAGAAAGAGGCTCCTGATGGCTTCCAACGCAGACGGGGATTTAAAAGCGGCTGGTGTGTAGGGAGGTGGCCATGAGGGATGTGACAGCCCATGAAGCAGGCAGCCACTATGGAAATGGCCGGGGAAAAGGGCTGTCTGCAAAGGTGGGTCAAATAAGGTCATAGCTGAGCAGCTCCTGCAAACGCTAGCACAGCAGAGGGAGAGTGTGTTACAGTGCATGTTAAGGTGTGATTGGTGCTGCTGAGGAAGTACCCGGATGAGCAAGTGTGTGTGTGTGTGTGTGTGTGTGTGTGCGCGCGCGCACGCCTGTGCACGCTCATCAGCTAGCTGTAACTTCACTTCTAACGCACATGTCAGAATGCATGTATGTGCATGTAGGAGTGTGCACAGGACACTTCCCACGCAGCTGGCCCATGAAGACACAGGCACTTTGTGTGCAGCTGTGTGTGAGTGAAAGAGAAACCTAGTGAAGGATCTCTGTGGGAGGGGAGGAACAGTCTTTGCTTGAGGTGGGGCATGACCCTGGGGCTCAGAGTGGCAGAATCCCAGGGTAAATGGCTGGGAGGCGAAAGTGGTCCCTCACACACTCCTGTGCATGTCATGGGAAGGCTCAGTTCAGGGAGGGCACATTATCTCCACAGTTCGTCTAAGGATGAAGAAAGATCCTAGGTGGTGTGCACAGAAAAACATTCATCAGTATTGGCTCAGACACTCACACCTACCCACCTGTATTCTTTTACGCCTTAAATACTCTTTGGAAGACAGCGACATTCAACAAATAAACATCAGTTGATTGGTCTGCTATTTGTGTGACAGTCATAAGCCAGAACTGGCCAGCAACATCTGTGAGGACCCAGGCCCAGCTGTAACTGCCCATGTGCTTATGTGACCAGCTGTGAGGACTGTGGGCAGCCTGCTTCCCCGTTCTTCTCTCCCATGCATGCTCTTCATGACGCACTTTTTACCCCGTGCTTGGAGGGCATGTGCGTGTGTCTAGCAGTGTGTCTCTTACAAACCTTTGTATGGAAGCCCTTCTGGGAGCCGTCAGCATTGTTTCTCAGGTGTTTACAGAGTGGAGGTAGCATGGCCGAGCTCGGCAGTTCCTGTTGTCACTGACACTCAAGGGTGAGGGGCTGTGTGACAGATGTTGCAGGGCCCCTCCCAGGTTGGTATCTGCCAAGAGCTTAGGGAGACTGGACTTCAAAACCCCTGTTTAGGGGATGGGTGGGGTGTAGCTGATGGTGGAAATCAGAAAGGAGGTTTGCACGTGGAGCAGATTGTAGGGACTGATTTGGAAAGGTAAGATAAAACATGGCGATCACTGCAGTCTTGTTTTTTCCACCACCCCAAATGTCAGTCTGCTTCCTTTGCCTCTTTCTGTGTTTGTTTGGGTCAGATTTTCAGTTCTTTGAGGCTGATCCCCTAATTCTTTTCATGTGCTATCTTTTTCTCTCTCCTCTGTTAGGCATGTTGATGTAACAGAAAATTATAAGTGCTAGAGGGAAAAAGGAAACCAATCACACATAGAGTGTATTTCTGAAATTTTAAGTCAGGTAGGGTCTCAAAGCAGATTAATTATTAAGTGCAAAACTAATTATACACAGAATGGCTAAGTCTCAGCTACTATTTTGGTGTCATCTTATGGTGGGCAAGTTTGAAAAGAAGTAACCTCTTGTAATTACTTAAATAATTACCCATTGCCAAGGCCTTTGAAAATGTCAAGGTCTATATAAAGACAAAACAGTCATTAGAGGGAAAAATAACTTTAAGAAAATGAAACTGTTTACTGGAAAAGGAATGAAAACCAGGAAAATACCAGACCCCTTTTTCTTCAGTAGGGTTTTCAAAATCTTTGCCAATTTCTATCAGACCATTGGGAAGGGAAGACAAAGAAGGAAAGGGAGAAATGTTAGAGGAAGGCTGTGGGTTCCTGTCTTGACAGGTGGGAGAGGCTCAGAGAGGTGAGGGCTCACGAGAGCCATGGAAATGACAGGGAAGAGGCCCGCAGACACATTAGACCACAAGTCTGTGCACAGAGAGCTGGACTGACTAGAAAGTGTTTGATCCTCCAGAGTGGGGAAGGAAACAGGCTCCTCTGGGCAGACTGACCTGGAGAGGGCAGAGAATTCTTGAGTTCCAAGCCACTCCGAGGAGCCAGAGTAGGGTGTAGATGGCAGCAGCCTTCCCCTGCCATGCCACAGCCTCTACCTCCCATGCCACAGTTCAGCTCTGAGAGAGAGTGCCAAGGTTTGAGAGACAACCCATGTTTAGTCTTGCAGTGGTTTTGTAGAGGGTGAACTTCAAGATTCTTAGGGAGAGTCAGTTTACCCTTTTCTAACAAGGTTGAGGTAACATCTTTCCCAGAATACCTGGTAGAGGTTGGAGCATGCAGATAAAGATCTTCAATTCATGACACTGTCAAAGACAGGCTGCCTGGGTGCCCTGGGAACCTATACAAGATGTATTATTTATTATAAACATTTTCCATCAGTTGACTTTTTTTCTTCCTGGAATGCATGAATGAGTTTTTCCAGATTTGTTTCTTATATTTTGGCTCCCTGCTAGCCCTGGGGATACTGCTTTTGCAAAGCAGGGCTGTTCCATCGGCTGATACCCGCTACAGACCTTAGGTTCCACTTCCCAAGAGTTGGTAATTTTCCTGAGGGCAAAGCCTGTCTCTTGTTCATCTGTGTCTTGTTCCACCTTCAGGAAGGGCCTAACACACTGTTTGACACAGAATAGGACTCAGGAGTGACTGTACTTTTCCTTGTAATCAACAGTCTAATAGAAATTTTACCTCTAATAAAAGGTCAGCCCACCTGAAACAAAAGTTCAATTATAATTGGTATCACATCTGATTGGCAGTATTATATGTTTCTGATTCACTTTTCAAAAATTAGAAAATAACTATTAAATAAGTACAGCTTATAGATGAAACATTTCCAAACACAGGGGCCACATGGGAATGTAAATAAAGGGGATTCTTGTTGGTGAAAACATTGGGAGTCACTTTACTAATCTGCTCTTTTACAAGAGAAGAGGTTTCTTCACTTGATTGGATTGGTTTGGGGGACCCTGGGCAGAATGTTAGGAAAGGGGTATCTTCTAGTCTTCTCTCTAGCTTCTTTCCTTGGCTCTTAAAGTGCATGCAGTATTTAAGCTGTCTTACATAGTCTCTTCCTTCATGTATCCTTTGGAGGAAGGAAGGGACCCAACCCGGCTAGTAATAGTTTTCCATTCCTCCTGGAGCATCCACAAGACCTTTTTGTGGGGAACAAACCAGCTAATTTCAGCTCCTCTATTAACTAGCTGTTTGATTTTAATTCCACAAGGCCCCAGTTACTTCATTTGTAAAACAAGAGGGTTGGATTGGACTACTATTTATTTATTAACACCTTTATTGAGTTCCCATTGTGTGTTAAAGGTTGTGCCAGGCACTGAAATTCCAGGGTGGAATTGACACAAGGGACTCCTCATTTACAAGGGAGGCCATATGAAGGTCTGTTACAGTTTGGTGAGAAAAGTGTAGTGAGAGTAGTTTGTTGAGAAGGCTGTGATAGACAGGAGCAGTGCCTCATCCAGACTCAGAGTGGCCACAGAAAGCTTCTCAGAAGCTAAGACTGGAGGCAGGAGTGAGAATTAGCAGATGGGTGGTGGGACAGGACAGAGATGGGGAGATACAGATGTTCAAGCAGACAAGCATGTGCAGAGACCCAGAAGGCAAAAGAGGCGGCTGTGTTCTGGAAATTGTGAGTAGTAAGTTTGTCTGAAACATAAAGTATGATGGGGGAAGGTGGGTGCAGAGAGGGAGGGGAGGTGGCGATTAGTTTGTGAGAGCCTTCTTTGCCTTTTTAAAGGATCTGAACTATATGATAGAATAATAGAACCAGATTTGTATTTTATTTTATTTATTTTATTTTTTTTGAGATAGAGTCTCCCTGTGTTGCCCAGGTTGGAGTGCAGTGGTGTGATCTTGGCTCACTGCAACCTCTGCCTCCTGGGTTCAAGCAATTCTCCTGCCTCAGCCTCTCGAGTAGCTGGGATTACAGGTGGCCACCACCACACCCAGCTAATTTTTATGTTTTTAGTAGAGACGGGGTTTCACTTTGTTGGCCAGGCTGGTCTCGAACTGCAGACCTTGTGATCCGCCTGCCTTGGCATTTAAAAAGACTTCTTGGGCCGGACGTGGTCTCATGCTTGTAATTCCAGCATTCTGGGAGGCTAAGGCGTGAGGATCACCTGAGGTCAGGAGTTTGAGACCAGCCCAGCCAAGATGGTGAAACCTTGTCTCTACTAAAAATACAAAATTGGATGGGAGTGGTGGTGCATACCTGTAATCCCAGCTAGTTGGGAGGCTGAGGCAGGAGAATTGTTTGAACCTGGGAGGTGAAGCAGCAAGCTAGGATCACACCATTATACTCCAGCCTGGGCAACAAGAGCAAAACTCCGTCCCAAAAAGAAAAAAAGTTGGCTGGGCGCAGTGGCTTACACCTGTAATTCCACCACTTTGGGAGGTCAAGGCAGGCAGATCACCTGAGGTCA